CCCCCCCCAATTGAGCAGAGTTTTTCTCTTATGTGGGCATGTATTAGTTCATCTACTGGCTTCATATTAGTGTTGAGTGCATTGGATACTTGATTTTTCCATTCTTGTGATACTTTACTAAGAATATGTTTCAACTCCATCCAGGTTAATATAAAAGATATAAAGTCTCCATCTTTTTTATGGCTGAATAGTATTCCATAGTTATACACATACCACAGTTTGTTAATCCTTTCCTGGATTGATGGGCACTGGGTTGCTTCTGCATCTTACTGATTGTAGATGGAACTACAATAAACAATCCAGTGCAGATATCCTTACAATAAAATGATTTTGTTTTTCTTCTGGATAGATTCCTAGTATTGGGAATGCAGGATCAAATGAAAGGTCTGTTTTGAGTTCTTTGAGGATTCTCCATACTTCTTTCCAAAGTTGGTGGATTAGTTTGCAGTCCTACTACCAACAGTGTAAAAGGGTTCCCTTCCCTCCACATCCACACCAGCATCTGCAGCTTTGAGACACATGCAATTCTTAATTTAATTTGTAATATATTATACTATTTTCACTGCGTCAAAGAATGTTTGATTTAATTTCATCAATTTTTCTTTTTTTGCACAAGTTAAGTAGATCAAGTATTTGGTCCTATTAACTGTCAAGGAATTTTTAATTGCAATTGTTTTTACTCACTGGAAAGTTTATTACAAACGTGTTTCTATAATTATAATCTGTATTAAAAGATTTTTTGTTATATGTTCAGGGAAATATTGATACTTACTACCTTTAAGAATCCAAGAGAAAGCTGGGCTTGGGGGCACTATGCCTGTAGTCCCAGCTCCTCAGGAGGCTGAGGCAGGGGAATTGCTTGAGCCCAGTTCAAGGCTGTAATACACCAAGATTGCACCTGTGAATAAGCTGCTGCACTCCAGTCTGGGCAACATAACAAGACCCTGTTTCAAAAAAAATTAAAGACTCCAAGAGAAATTATGTGCTAAAAATTATATTGACCTTCTCTGTAAAGGTCAAATATACAGAGACATATAATAAATAGTGGTTACTAGTGATAGGTGGGGGTCAGAGGACTAGAAAATGTAGAGATGTACTTCAGAGGATAATGTGGAATCAACAGTCTAGAGATCTAACATATAACATGAGGACTACCATTAATAACATGATATTGGATTAGAGATTTTCAGATAAGTAGATTTTAGCTGCTCTTATCACAAAAACAAAATAACTGTGAGATGATAGATATATTAATTTGCTTCACTATAGTAACCATTTTATTATCTATATGTAGTCCCATAATAGCATGAGGTACACCTCATATATATACAATAAAGTTTATTTTTTAAAAAATTTCCTTCTTCCTTCAGAAGAATACTGGGCAACTCTTCAAGAATCTGCTTTCAGCAAATTGGTCCAGATGTTTAAAAGCGCCTTCATCTCTCAATTGCTCTGTTGGACTAAAAATGCTAAGAATAAAGGTCATGTTAAAGCTCTCGTACAAATGTTGAAAAAGCTGCACAGGGTAAGTTTATTTAAAAACCTCTATGTCTTTATTTGGCAATAATAATTTCCTTGCTTTCAACTGCCCTGAATCTCAAGCAACTCATATGAGACATAGGAAGTTTATATGGCTATTTTTAAATGTTTTTGTTTTGTGAATTATATCATGCATATATAAAAGAGTATATATATTATCTATTGTATAGTTTGAAAAAAAACACTCTACCTGCCACTCATGTTAAAAATTCAAATAATTTAGAAATGTTTTAGAAATGCCTGTGTATCCTCATAAATTGCAACCCCTTCACTTGCCAGAGGCACCCACAATCCTGGACTTGGGGTTACTCGTTCCGTGATCTTGATTGTTTCATTACTAGATGTATGTCTTTGTCTCTCTGGGCCCTTTTGTTGTTTAATCTGGCTGGTTTTGAAGTTTAAATCGGTAGAATACCTGCTTTTACAGTTGACATTTCATTTGATAGATTCATCCAGAAAATGCTTATGGCTGTATTTCATTCATTTTTACTCTGTATTCCAGTCCATTTTATGAATACACCAATGGATAGTGTATTCCATTCCATTGATTTACTTATCCATTCCCAGATTGATGGATATATGTGCTGTCTGCGGTTCTTGGTTTGGTTTAGTTTGTGCAGGAGGGGTGGTTCCTCTGTGAGGAAGGATGCTGAGATAAACATTTTTGTACATGTCTTTGGGTCTTCGTGGGTCATGAATTGGTTTTAGTTTTTATACCTACTTCTGGAATTGACAAGTTGTAGATATGTATATGTTCTCTATAGTTTTAGTGGCAAACTGTCTTCTGAAGTAGTTGGACCAATTTAAATTCTGTCCAGGAGATGATGAGAATTCCTTTTGCTCCACATCTGACTTCAAGATTTTGAAAATATGAAAACATTGAAAATCTGTGAAAGGTCCTAATTTATAGTCTTAATTGTATTTTCCTGGTTCTGATGCATTATAGAACATTTTCATGGTAATAATTGCTACATATGTTTCCTCTTGTGTAAAATGCCTGTCCTTGACTTTGGTTCATGTTAAGTGTTCATTAAATGGATATTTGACTTTTATTGATTATAGGTCTTTTTATTTTAAATATTAGTCCTCTGTCAATTTTAGGTGTTGCCAAGTATTGTATCTAAGTTTGTAGTTGTCTTTTGCTCTATGGTGGTTTTTTTTTTTTTACAAACTCACATTCTTAACTTTGATGTAGATAAATTTGTCAATCATGCCTTTATAATTTTCGCTCCTTATAGCTTCTTTTAAACTCCCTCTCACCCCCTGTCAAGGCTTTAAATTGTTAACCTCAAATCAAGGGTCAGCAGTTTTTTTCTGGAAAGGACCAAATAGTAAATATTTTAGGTTTTGTGAGGCATGTGGTTTCTGTCACAACTGCAGCTACTCAGCTCTGGAGAAGTAGCATGCTAGTAGCCATAGGCGATCCGAGTATAAGTGGGTATGGTTTTGTTCCAATGTTACTTTACAAAAACAGCAGAGAGCTGGATTTCGTCCCCCAAACTGCTCTAGATAGTTTTCTAAGAGCACGATAGCTGAGGCCAAGAGAAAAGTACAAGTGGAGGCCAATATTTAAAAGGTTAAAAACCTGGCTAACAAACTGTTAAATAAGATATACTCTGGCCTTCCACCTTGGCAAATAATGATAGGGGAGGCCAGGTTTGAAACAAGAAATACGGCAGGGTGCAATGGCTCATGCCTGTAATCCTAGCACCTTGGGAGGCCAAGGCGGGTGGATTACTTGAGCTCCTGAGTTTGAGACCCACCTGAACAAAAGCAAGATCCGTCTCTCCTAAAAATAGAAAACAACCTGAGGCAAGAGGATCACCTGAGCCCAAGAGTTGTAGGTTGCTGTGAGCTATGATACCATGGCACTCTACTCAGGACAATGGCTTGAGACTCTACATCTCAAAAAGAAAAAAAGAAAAGAAAGAAATGTTAGAGTTCTGCACAGAGCCCTCTGCTGTTTCCCTGCCTTAATTTTGTCACACAGCATAAGGGGCGTCACATGTGCATATATGGACCCCTTAGCCCTATTTTTGTTCCTTGGCTCTTCCATATAAATTTTTAAATTAGCTTGCAAAGTTACACACACACATATACAAAATCTTATTAGGAATTTGGAGTTGCATTGAATCTATATTTCACTTTGGGGATAATTGACATCTTTACTAATATAAATCTTTATGGTGTCTATTTCTCTATTAGGTTGTCTTTTAATAAAGTTTTGTTATTTTACCCAGAAAGTCTATTTCATCAAATCTCTGCCAAGATATTTCAGTTTTTAAGGCTGTTGTAAATGGTATCATAAGAACAATATTATCTATTATTGGTTTATAGAAATATATATATATATTTTTTGAGACAGAGCCTCAAGCTATCCCCCTGGGTAGAGTGCCATGGCATCACGCTCACCGCAACCTCCAACTCCTGGGCTCAAGCGAGTCTCCTGCCTCAGCCTCCCAAGTAGCTGGGACTACAGGCGCCCGCCACAACGCCCGGCCATTTCTTGGCTGCAGCCATCATTGTTATTTGGCGGGCCCGGGCTGGGGATTCGAACCCGCCACCTTAGGTGTATGTGGCTGGCGCCTTAGCCGCTCGAACCACAGGCGCCGAGCCGGTTTATAGAAATATATTTATTTGGGGATATTGATTCTTACATCCAGTGAGTTTGCCATATTCTCATGTTGTATTAGTATTCAACTGTAGATTCTTTCGAATTTTCTATAATTTTTTTTCTTTATTTTCTTTATTACTGTCCTATGCTTTGTTTTGCTAGCTACAGCTTCTAGTATGATGTCCAAGAGAAGCTGTGATAATACAGGTTTTGGGGGCAAGACACAATTATAAGAGGGACTTGACCTAACAAATGCAATCAGTGCAACCTGGTATCTTGTACCCTCAGTGGATCCCCAACAATAAAAAAAAAAGAGGAAGAAGACGTTGTGATAATAGGGGGTACCTAGTCTCTGTGATTTTAAAGGAAATGTGTGAATATTGTTTACTATAGGATTTTTGAAAACCTTTTGGGTTTAGGATGGTAAAGGTTTTTTGAAACCTTTATGGGTTTAAGATGTTCCTTCTTTTTATAAATTGTTACGCATTTAAATCTAAACAAATACTGACTTTCTTCTACTGAAATTCCAGTTATTAATGTTGGGGCTTCTCAGTGTTATGTGCCGTGTCTCAAACTTTCTGTCATAGTTTCCATCTCTTTATCTCCCTGCCCCTCCTTCTAGATGTTTTCTTCAGTTAATGAGTTCTCTTTTCAGTGGTTTTGTCTGCTTCCAATACTGGCCTTTTAAGTTTTAACTTCAAGTATTAATGTTTTTCATTTCTAGGTATTCTGATTGGTTCTTTACATTTATTTTCTTGTTCATCATTTGTAATTTCTTTATGCTTTTGTTTTCTTTCCAAGTTTTCCTTTTATCTGTATAAATGAATATGCCTTATCACTGGTATCTGAGGTCTCCGCAGGCAGTTTCTGTTACCTCTCTGTTCTGCTGAATCTTCCTCCATTGCCTTTATTATCACATATTTTGTGATTTGTGTATGTGTACGAGCTGCCTATTTTTTCTGGAAGTTTATCATTTGGAATTATTTGAAGACTGAGTTTCTTTAGTGAGAATTTTCTTCTGCCAGAGTCATGGAGATATCAGTTAGGTACTACTATAAATTTCTGGCTTGAAGCTTTTTAGATGTGTGGACTTGACCGGGAGCTCTTCTGTAATTACACATCCTGTGGGGGGTATTTTTCCCCTTACAAGCTTTTGCCACTTACACAGAGAATTGTGGGAAATACTGAAGCAGCAATAAAGGAAATCCTCAAGGGATCCTGCTCTGTCCTTTAACCCTAACGGGTAACTATGAAAGTCTGTTTCATCGAATCCATGCCAAGATTGCAGGATCACATGGGAGGTCTAGTTTGAGTTCTTTGAGGGTTCTCCATTCTTCCTTCCAAAAAGGTTGTATTAGTTTGCAGTCCCACCAGCAATGTAAATGTGTTCCCTTCTCTCCACATCCACGCCAGCATCTGCAGCTTTGAGACTTTATGATGTAGGTCATTCTCACTGAGGTTAGGTGATATCTCAGGGTGGTTTTGATTTGCATTTCTCTGATAATGAGGTACAACAAGCATTTTTTAATATGTTTATTAGCCATTCATCTGTCTTTTTTAGAGAAGGTTCTATCCATCTCTCTCACCCATTGATATAAGGAATTAATGGCTCTTTTTATGTTGCTTGATTTGAGTTCTCTGTAGATCCTAGTTATCAATCTTTTGTCTGATTCATAATATGCAAATATCTTTTCCCATTCTTTTTTTTTTTTTTTTAGATAGAGTCTCACTTCATCACCCTTAGTAGAATGCTGTGGCATCTTACCTCACAGCAACCTCAAACTCTTGGGCTGAAACAATCCTCTTGCCGTAGCCTCTCAAGTAGCTGGGACTACAGGTGCCCACCACAATGCCCGGCTATTTGTTTTTGTTTAGCAGGCCCAGGCTGGATTCAAACCCACCAGCCCCACAGCATGTGGCCAGCGTCCTGACCACTGAGCTACGGGTGCCCAGTCATCTTTTCCCATTCTGATGGTTATCTGTTTGCTTTGATTGTTGTCTAACTATGCAGAAGCTTTTCAGTTTAATTAAGTCCTATTTGTTTATTTTTGTTGTTGTTGCAATTGTCACTGGAGTCTTCTTCATAAAGTCTTTCTCTGGGCTGATACCTTCAAGTGTTTCCCCCATACTTTCTTTGTTTCTTGATTTTTATTGTTTCATGCCTTAGATTTAGATCTTTTATCCATCTTGAATCAATTTTAGTGAGTGGAGAAAGGTGCGGGTCCAGTTTCCGTCTTTTACATGTGGTTATCCAGTTCTCCCAGCACCACTGATTAAATAGGGATTCCCTCAGTGTATGTTCTGAGCATCTACCCAGAAGAAAAAAAAATCTTTTTATCATAAGAACATTTGCACTAGACTGTTTATTGCTGCTCAATTTACAATTGTCAAATTGTGGAAACAACCAAAATGCCCACCAATCCAGGAATGGATTAACAAGCTGTGGTACACGTATACCATGGAATACTATTCAGCCACAAAAAGATGGAGACTTTGCGTCTTTTGTATTAACCTGGATAGAGTTGAAACACATTCTTCTTAGTAAAGTATCACAACAATGGAGAAGTTAGAATCCAGTGTACTTAATTCTGATATGAGGACAGTTTTCGAATTTTCTATAATTTTTTTTCTTTATTTTCTTTATTACTGTCCTATGCTTTGTTTTGCTAGCTACAGCTTCTAGTATGATGTCCAAGAGAAGCTGTGATAATACAGGTTTTGGGGGCAAGACACAATTATAAGAGGGACTTTACTTAACAAATGCAAGCAGTGTAACCTGGTTCTTTGTACCCTCAATGAATCCCTAATAATAAAACTGCCTAGATTTTTTCAATTTATCAAATCAAAATATTTGATATTTGTCAGCCCCGCCCCCAGGAGGAGGACCACAAGAAGCCACTATCTCCATGACTTTAGGAACCTTAACTGATAGTGACAGTACAAGGCTGAGATCAGTAGGTGCAGAGGACCCTAGATACCGGGTGGCGGAGTGTCACTATGCTGTGTGTGACAGGACTGGGAGGCCTGGATCATTTGAGGTCTGGGCAAGAGTCAAAGAATATTCTGCACACCTGGTCTCAGCCTATACAACCAAGGTGGGTTTTTAGAATACCTCCTGAGAGTCAGTCGTTTATTCCATCACTATGCCCCTCCAGGTCAAATACTGATGGTCACTAATGTCCAAAGCATCTATTGTCATTATTAGTCAGTGGCTTCACTGACTGACGTCAGGGTGTTCATACGTGTGTCATAATAACCCTGAGCATATCATGGGATAGAGGATGGAAAATTCCCTCAGAGTTTAGCAGAGGAATGTTTCACATAGACCTTAGCAGAGTGAATATCTGTAGCAGAGTGAATATCTGACACATGCGTATTGTGAAGTTCTGAAGGATAAGACGTGAAGAACTGGACCCCAGAGTACTTTGGATTCCTATTGCACTCATTTTTCTCCCCTTTGGACTTAATGTTCTTTATGACTTTCCTATGGATTAAAAAGTAACTAAAAGTTTATCATTGTATAATATCGTCAGTCTTTTTTAAAATTTCAGAATATCATGGGGGCACAAATGTCTTGGTTATGTGAATTGCCTTTGTACAGTTCGAGTCAAGGCTGTGAGTGTGCTTCTCACTCACATGATGTACATTGTACCCCTCAGGTGTGGATTTCCCCCTCCTTTCTCCCCCTTCCACCTGCTTGCCTTCTGTTGCGTTTTACTACCAGAGGGTATCAACCTGTTAGTACCAGTTTAATAGTAAATGCATGTGGTGTCTCTTTTTCCATTCTTGCAAAATTTCATTTAGAAAGTGGTCTCCAGTTCCATCCAGGTTGTTGCAAAAAGTATTAATTCATCACTTTGTTTATTACGAGTAGTACTGCATGGTCCACGTGTACTATATTTTATTATCCACTCATGTATTGATGGGCACTTGGGTTGGTGCCGCATCTTTGGTTACGGATTGTTCTACAGTAGACATTCAAGTGCATGTGTCTCTTTTTCCTTTGGGTAAATATTCCATAGTAGGATTTCTGGAGCAAATGGTAGGTCTACTTTTAGTTCTTTGAGGTATATCCATATGACTTTCCACAGAGGTTATATGAGTCTGCCGTCCCACCAGTGGGGTGTAAGTAAGTGTTCCTTTCTCCCTGCATCCACATCAGCATCTGTTCTTTGGGAATTTTTTTTATAGGAACCATTCACACTGGAATTAGGTGATACCTCATTGTGGTTTTGATTTCTATTTCTCTGAATAGAGAGAGACATTGAGCATTTTTTCATATGTTTACTGGCTCTTAGTCTATCTATTTTAAAAACCTTCTGTTCACATCAGCTTGATTTTAATAACTCTGTTTTCTTAGTCACAAGTCATATTTTATTTAATCTCACCAATCATATTTTATTTAAGGTAAACCAGACTAGCTTTCAACTACCTGAAAATATTTTCGAAGTAGACGAACTTTCTCATTGTCTTGATTTTGACAAAGAAGTATATTGGAGCTTCTTTTCCGAAACTGTTCTGGTAGGTATGGCATGTTTAAAGTGGCGAATTCATAATCATTGAGTTAATACAGGCATTTTTGCTATCACTTTCTACGTGCGTTTCTGATAACCTTGTATCAGCAAAATTGCATAATAGAAACGGGAGGGATTGTGGGAAAAGTAAGAGTTCTGAAAATCTGTGTCATTTTGTAGCCAGAGCATTAGCTGAAAAGTGATTGATTCCTGGGGTCTCAACCAGGTAAGTAGTTTGTGGACAGTACTATGATAATGTGAAAAATGAACAAAAAGAAAAGGGTAGAAATCTATCCACCCTCTAATTAGAGAAGGATGAGATAACACAGATGGAAGTGGAGCTC